ATTACATATTCACGATGAAGTTATTTTTTCTGGTGCAAAAGAACAAATGCTTAAAATATATTTCTATTTTAACCGCTATTGTATTATTGATGATATTTAAATTTTCTAATGTGTGACTGTTAGTCTATTTTTAATGATAGTATTTGCGTCAAGATTTCATTTATTTAGTTAGATATTTCTGTCACCGTATTCGTACGACGGGAAAAAAAGAACTGATTTTATTTCTATTGCACAACTGAAACGAAACTATTAGTGGTTAGTAATAGTTTTGCATAAAAACTACCCTTAAATAAAATTTTCAACATTTTTATTCTTTATTACCCACTTCCTCTAAATTCCGACTTACTGGTAAACACACAACACAAACACGCTGTTCCGTTTATTGTTCTAGTTATTTATTTACGTATGATTTTCATTATAGCATTTTGTATTTTTTTTACACATAATACACTACCAGACAAAAAAAAACCGGGACACTTGAATTATTTGTGATTACTTGAAACTGCTGAAATTTTTGTAAAAAATATTCCAAAAAGTAAAACATTAATATATTCATTAACAGAAAAAACATTACTTTCTTGCATAAGTTTTATTCTTTAATTAGATATTAATTTTTAACACAACTCTAAATCATCAACACTACTTTCATCATCTTCACTATCACTATAATCTAAAATGGAATTAACATTGGGCGGGGCTAGTACCTGTTAAGATAAAACTGATTTTGGCAAATGACACACCCTCTAAATAAAGAGAGGGTGGGGGGGGGGGCTAGTGGCTGCTACGACAAGACTGATTTTGGCAAATGCCGTATCCTCTAAGAAAAGGGAGGGCGGATGGACGGTTCTAACACTTGCTAAGATAAAACTGATTTTGGCAAAGAAAAGAGAGGATGGGTGGGTGGGGCTAGTGACTGCTAAGATACGACTGATTTTGGCAAATAGCGTATCCTCTGAGAAAAGAGAGGGCGGGTGGGCGGGGCTAGTACCTGTTAAGATAAAACTGATTTTGGCAAATGACATACCCTCTAAGAAAAGAGAGGGTGGGAGGGCGGGGCTAGTGACTGTCAAGATAAGACTGATTTTGGCAAATGACAGTGGAGTAATTCTCCGCTACGCTCTTAAAAATCAACTGGTGAGTCCAGGAAAAATAGTAAAAAAAATGCCTTCTCACAAACAACGCATTCATTATCACAATAACTAGTAAGATAAAACTTTTAGTTAATATTTCTCTCATCCATGACTATGTTTAGATACCATTCGAATGTACAAAGATATGAGTGTGTTGTTTTTGTAATAATTTGATAAAATTCCATTTGACACCACTGTAAAGCGAAGGTACAAATCAGCAAAAATCGAGTAAGCAGTTTAAAATATTTGACGTATCAAAAATTATCAAAGTTTTCAAAACCCTACATGTTCGCAGTTACTTTTAGGTCTCCTGGTGTTTTAGTTTCAGATAAATTTAAAGGAATCTGGTGTTTTGTTGCTGAATGAACTTAAAAAAATCTTTTGAGCTTTCAGTGTTTTATTTTTTACGAATTTGAAGAAGTCTTGAGTGCCGCAGTGTTTTTGTTTTTAATTCGGGAGGCTCTTGGGTGCCCATGGTGTATTATTTTGGGAGTCCATGGAGTTTTTTTTTTGTAAATTATTTAAAAGCATTTTGGGGACTTCGGTGTTCTATTTTTGGACCCCATCTTTTTTTCGAAAAATTTAAAACAATTTTAAGATTCTAGGTATTGCTGTTTGAACAGAATTTGAAAGTGCTTTGGAGCCTTTAGTGTCTTTTCTTATAATAAATTTCTTTAAATTTCTTAGAGGATGCGTTATTTGCCAAAATTAGCCTTATCTTAGCAGGTATAGACCCACCCACCCACCCTCTATTTTCTTAGAGGGTATGTCATTTGCCAAAATCAGTCTTATCTTAGCAGGTACTAATCACTCACCGACCCTCTCTTTTCTTAGAAGATATGTCATTTGCCAAAATCAGTCTTATCTTAGCAGGTACTAATCCCACCCACCCACGCTCTCTTTTCTTAGAGTGTATGTCATTTGCCAAAATCAGTCTTATCTTAGCAGGTACTAATCCCATCCACCCACCCTCTCTTTTCTTAGAAGATATGTTATTTGCCAAAATTAGTCTTATGTTAGCAAGGACTAGGCCCGCTCACCCACCCTCTCTTTTCTGAGAAGATATGTCATTTGCCAAAATCAGTCTTATCTTAGCAGGTACTAATACCACCCACCCACCCTCTCTTTTCTTAGAGTGTATGTCATTTGCCAAAATCAGTCTTATCTTAGCAGGTACTAATCCCACCCACCCATCCTCTCTTTTCTTAAAAGATATGTTAGTTGCCACAATTAGCCTTATCTTAGCAGGTACTTGCCCCCCCCACCCACCCTCTATTTTCTTGAAGTGTATGTCATTGGCCAAATTATATAGTGGGCATCAACAAAAACAATCGACACAAATGGAAATATCCCAATATATCTTCAGCAAAAAGACCTATTTCCCATTCAGAAAATTAATAATAATAATTTAATTGCTTTAGATACTATACCCAATTACAGAAAATGTAAAAGAACAAGTGTTTACAATACGAAAACGAACGAGAACCAACGGAACTATTAACTACTAAACAACTAATCTTTGACCTTATTAACGAACTAAAACTTTTCTGAAAAGCTAGCTTGTACATATTGTTTTTGTTTATACAAAAATGCTTTCAATAAAGTATTGTATATGTTTTAAACGAAATGAAAATTTTCGAAAATTATTTTTTTTTTTGGTTCATTTGAAGTCCGAATTCAAAAACATTCGGTCTCAAATTCGAATTTTTCAAAAATTATAAAATCCATGTCGATAATTTTCAAAATTGATCAAAAATTTCATATTGGAAAATAGTCATTTTGAAAAAATCTCAAAATATACAAAAAATTCTGGGATCTAGATCTGGGTGTGCTTATTCCAGAAATATAGCGTGTTCACAGTTCCAGGGCAAAATTTTACAAATATCCGGTTTGATTGTCCGACAAAATCACTTAAAAGACAATTTCTTGAAGTATAAATTGAAAATAAACCGATAGTTCTGTAAAAATGCATTTTTACAGAACGTAAAGAAGAGCTGATACAGAAAAATAAGTGGCAATTTTGATATCGTTGATAAGACATATTTAAAATCAGGTCTAAAATTCCATGCACCAAAATGTGTGTAGGCCAGTGTAATTATTTGATTTGTTTCAAAATTATCCAGAATCTTTTCCGTTTGCCATACTGAATTTATGATTTTTTTCCGTATACTTAATAATCCAGTGTATATTGGGACTTGGTTTATTCCATTTTCCCAAGTTTTCAGTATATCAACAGGAGATGCATTAGTTTTTGGAATCCTTTTATCGTACTTTCGTTTACATTCCGACCATACCATTTGAATTGAGTTAAAATGACAGTGGAATAGCGAAAGTCTTATATATCCATGTTCTTGAGCATAGTGATTTAAATGATACAATTTTTTGAGCAGTCTATTGCGCACAACATTCTAAATCTGATCTTTCATCTCTTTTTCAGGAGAATCTACCTTTTTTATGTTTAACCATTTCACGATTTTTTTCTTTGTCCAACTCTTTCGTGGAATTTCTTCCTACAAATAAAGCAGAAATATAAGTATAGTGTACTTATCAAAACTAAAATAAACACTATAAGTCTACTGTCTCAACTTGCATTATCCATTACAATAAGAGACGGTTCTGGAAGATTGTAAATATCCATATTTCATGGAGAAAAAGGGCTGTGTATAATTTTTTTTGTTGTGCTGATATTCACCTAAAAATGTTGTTCTTCATACCTTAATGGATGGTGTTTCAGTTAGAAACAATCAATTATTTTTTTTATAAAATTTAAAACCAATTTTTCTGATCCATATGTCTTCCATAACTCTACTATGAAGCGACTTAATGGTTCGTTCAATGCAATCATTTTATACATTAATTTCCCTGAGTGATCTTAAATCTACAGGGTTTACTTGAGTTTTTCTATTTCTAATTCTTTTTTTTCTCCATATCACTGGAACCTGTATTTTTTGTAAATTATATAAAAAGTTTTCAGAAATTCAGAAACTTTTCGGCCGCCAGTTCTTAAATTGCACAACATCATGAATTCTTTCTAGATAATCCAATACATTTAATATAACTTGTTTTGTTTGATCACTAAATCGTTTCATTGTTCAGAATTAAGTAGAGTAATAAAACGTTAAAAGAACCAAAGATTCTGATTGATAAATAATTCTGATGACAAATTTCAAAATTTAACATAAAATTTGTACAATATAGGTGCTCAAAATTTGGTAATGTTTTGTCTCACACAAAGTGCATAAGATAGAAAGAGAAAAAGGGTAATGTTTTGTCTCACACAAAGTGCATAAGATAGAAAGAGAAAAAGTTTTATCTTGGGTATTTCCACCACTATACCTACACCAACATAATTACATTTACTGCTACTGTTTGATGTCCCTCTTTTTTGTAAGCTGTATAAATTTATATGTGCCTCTTTCATGTAGAAACATTTCTAAAATAAATTTACTTTGTGTCCTCATCGAGAAAACTAACGCACACAACACATATTATGGTTTATGGCTGAATTTATAATTAATAATTATCCTTTCAAAACAAAGTTTTCTTAACAAAACATCATATTATTACACAACATTATAATTATTGAAACATATCAAACATATTTAATCTGATACAACCATTTTCTTAATTGACGTTTATCCTGTATTCTAGAATGACTCACAAGTGTCATCTATTATTTACATTAATTTCATAAACGCAGTGTAACACCAAACAAGTCGATATCTCTTAGCCGTGAACTCTATCAATAATTCACCGCTTAAACCAAAATAACCCAACATTGCCGTTAAATATAAAACAACGAACTAATTTGTTAAGTCAAATCACAAATTCAAACGATCGTTAATTATTACTGTGATTACTATTGATTAGGTGACCGAAGAGACATGTGAAATCCTGCAACATTTCGGCTACCAGTTCGAACAGCGCGGCCTAGTGGCGGTTAAGGGAAAAGGGCAGCTGATGACCTACTACTTGCTCGGAAAAGCCGGAAAAATCACCCCTCCGACAGCTCCGGTTTCCCCGATCATAGGTGTCACTGCTATGGAAACGGTGAACGAAGAAGACGAATCGCACGACAGCCCCACGTCCAAGTCGGAAGATAAAACAGTTATCGAATGTAACGACCAGAAAATCGAAGACGAAGTTTTCACCAACGACGCAGAGACGGCCGTCTGCGACCAAAATTTTAGTAGCAAAGAAGGGGATCCTCTGCTTCAAAGTTAATGAGTTAGTAAATAGACAAAGCACTGACTACTGTAGGCTGTCATTTATAAATCATTTTGTACTTCGATCAATCATTCTCGTAATAGAGTTCAACTGGTGTTTAGATCTTGATATAGGTTGATACCTACATGTCTAAGTATATACAATCAGAATAACATAGCTAGTAAGGCGTAAAATAGCGTAAACAGAGTACCAAGCATAATAGGTGTAGACGTTATTTTCTTCTTTTTGTGTTCGGTAGGAGGCGTTATATGCTAGAATTGATTGAAAGTTTTGTTTTATAGAAACACGCACATATCTATGAAAACTAAGTTAGTTTGTGTATTTTGGTTTGGCATTGTAGGTACTACTGAGATATTTCTGGAAGGAGAATCTTATGTAAAAATGTAGATCATTGTAATACTCAAAACGAAATGCTTAGCTTATTGTATAACTGCAGACCTAAGTTGTACTTCGAATTTTGTTTTTAATATTAAGTACAAACTGATTAACTTCCAAGGGTAATTTCTGTGAAATGTTTAAAAAATTATTCATTAGAACCACAAAACGAGCTCAAAGTATTCTTCTATCACAAAAGTATGAATTTCAAGAATGGGATCAAGTAGGGGCTTGACGATAATTTATATAAATAACTGCTATATTAGTTAGCTGTAAATAATAAATTTTTATTTACTAGTATTGACTTTATTTTAGATATTACTATTTGAAATGTTAGTAACAAAATGTGTAATAATGTTTAGTAACTACTCTGAATAAACTTTACATTAGCAAATGTATCCTTATTTATTTATTGTGAAATAACTGCCAATATAGGTTGAGTATCAATATTATTATGTGCACTTTTGCTCTAAGTATTTTTTGTATTTGTTAATTGAGTAAGGAAAATTGGTTGTATTAAGTTGTCTTTTGTCAGTATGTTCTTTCTAAGTTCAAGATTTCAAGAAAATAACCAAGATTTTAAAAACCTTAGCCCCTATTAACAAATACAACATAATTTAACTTATACGACAGCATATGGTTAGATTTATCGTTCGATTCAAAAGTGTAAGGGTAATTTTAATCAACTGCCGTTTGTAGATATGTATGCAATATTTTTCTGTTTGTTTTACGGGAGTCAAAATAGATAGGGGCTCATGTAAACGCCGAAAAACAGTGAGTAGTCATCGGTATGAAAAAAACAGAGTGAAACAGACAAAAGTGCAAGACGAGGTTTTAAGTAAAACTTCAGAACTAGATATTTTTCTTCGACGTACTCCGTGTGCTTGAAAGCAACTTGTGCCTCACATTATGACCGGAGAGTGTTCTAACTCAGTTGTTAACAGTTTTTCTTCAGTTGATTTGAACATGAAGAAAACGTCAATTTTCAACGTACTATATTGTCCTCTCATAAGTCATTTCGATGAAGATGATTCAACCTATTTCTGTTCTTCTAGAACCCTTACAGCACTTTGAATCGTCAGTTTAGATCTTTCTGAATGGCTAATCAACAACTTCACTATAGACTTTTTGCTAGAAAATGGAGTTAAACAAAATTAGACTCCGATTTTCCCAAGTTAAAATGGCAACAAAAAAACGCCATTTTTTTACTATTATAATGATAGAGGAGAAGCAAATTTCTACTATGTTCGGCAGGTTCGGAACCAGTAGCAGCTGATCAGGACCGACTATATTAAGGAGATCTCCGATATGTTCGCAGCAATTTGTTTAAATGTTATGGCGATAGAGAGTCAATTTGTTTTTAAAAGAAGCACTACTCTTGATTCGATACGATCCGTATCTAAATTGTTCCACACATTGAAGACTGATGGTTAGTACATTTGGCACCACCTGATCGTGTACTTTTCATGATGCAATTTCACTGAATGTCCACGAAGATGTGAAGTAGGTATTAGAAAAGAGAATTGTAAGTGCACATGAGATCATTTTTAAGAATCGGGGTTTCTCTAAAAAAGAAAGTTTAGTATCAAAGGAGTTATCCTTTAAAGTCTCTACAGCGTACACTAGCGTAATCCAACTTGGGACGAACCTGAGACAAATTAAATTTGTATTAGGTGCTAGATGGTATTGACTTTCTTAACCATAAGGGTGACATATTCAGAGAAAGATAGTTAGTTGTCTTCGTTGTTCATTGGTCCTTGACATAAAAAGTATGAAACGATTTCAGCAAAGGTAGGAGATTGGATGTATAAGTAACAAACAGCATCGGACCCAACATCGATCCTTGAGGAACACCTGCTCCCATTTCCAGGTTGGTAGAGTAATAAAAATCTACTCTCACTCTAATGCTGCTATCAACTACATATAATAAAAAGACGTCTAATTCCATAATTATTTTATTGCTGCAGCAGTCGACGGTAAGGAATGAGATGATAAACATTTTTGAAAATAAATGGCGGCAATCGGTATATTTTTGTCCAAGTGTAGCATCCAAGCATTAACTTGAGGTTGTATTTCGACTCAGGAACTTTATGGAAGCTGAAAAATGTATTTTATGTTGTAAAAAACCTTTCCGTTTTACCATCGGGTTTTTGCAGTAGTATTGGCAAAATGAATATTAAAACAAAATTTTTTATATATTTATTGAACTTTTACATGAAAGTGGTGACCATTGAACGCAACGTACCATTTTATACATTTGCGGAATTTTATCCGTCATAGACCAATGTTCAAATCCTTCAAATTGTATATTCAGTTGGGGGCGAATTGGTGGTTTCAGTCTTTTGGATGTAATTGGAGATTCCTTGTTCCGACTCGACATACCAACCTCTTTTTGAACCTTATTTCTTTGAAACTTGAGCAATGATTCCGCCACTTTGCCAGAAAAGGCAAGAAGTTGAATTTGTTGCCTTCGTGACATTTTTGAAAGCTCACATTCTCTGCGATATTGTAGTCAGCTATTAGATACCATCATGTTTACAAAATGAAAAATAACTCGTACAGTCCACTATATAGAAAGGTCCTGTACAGTTTAATAAGGGAATCTCTTTTGTCCATTTAACCCATATTTTGATTACAGACCTTTATAATTTCAGGTCGACTTACAGATATGTATTTTCTTTGGATTTCCTCCAACGCTTTACCTACAACAACAGAACAATATCGGTTTCATCGGTTTCGCCAATCCCAACAAAATTTTAAGTCATGTACACGATATTGTTTTCCTTCCATTCTGTAAGCACTACATCTTCTTTCAAGTTTACTATTTCATCCATTGCCCGTTGAAGGTATTTGTTCTTGAGTTGAAAAGGACAAGCGTGGGTATGATTTTTTCGTAACGTTCCTGGGTACCATTTTTTTTTTCTGTTAGCAACTTGATAACGAGTATGGACGTCAAAAGTTACCAGTAAATAATTTGAAATTTTGACTGCGGTGAATGCATTAAACCAATTTGAGAGTTATTGGTCCAGACATTCCAAATTCTTTTGTATTATCCAATGGGGTTGTTTTTACCTGAAATACGATTAAATCCTGTACAACACTACTTGTTCCACATAGCAAGAGCTTGTTTTTATTACAGGGTGATTTCGAAAAGTGCACAATAAAAAAATGGGGAATAGCTCACAATAATTATTATTGCACTACGTTCCTAATAAGTCTTGGGAATAACTACCATTGAATGAATGGCACAGAATGACGAGGATTAGAACCAAAAAGGCGGCACACTAATAATCAATGTGCAAAAACACGATAAAAGCCAGTCATGTATAAGTTGGTTGGGGTCGTATGTTCGATTAACGTCTTTAACAATAGTGAATTTTTCCAATTTAGAGTGTGTCGACATCGTAATGATTTATAGTGTGGCTGATGGAAACGCCAGGTTGGCCCAAGAATTGTAGCCGTGATAAGACCGAAAGAATACTGCAAGCTGAAGAACAAATTTTGTATCCGTGAAGCCTGTATTACTAGTCAACGACAACGTTATCAACATTTATTTTAAAAAGGTGGTAGCATTCTAAATTGCTCTTATTTTTGTTCTAATAAACAATGTGGTATCGTTGTGGCAAGGACCAAACATTCGTTAGAATAAAAAGTCGATCACCATGAAGCATTACTACATATCAGTCCTTCTCAGGACCAACATTCGTTTCTACTACTAATAATCTTTCCTATTAACTTCCAAAAATGAATTAATACATAGATGAACGAAATAAGCAGCAAAAAGTCGGTTTTACTTTTAATTGAAACTGAAAGTGTTTACATTGATTTTATTCGAACGTTTTCTCAGCTACTATTTAAAAGGTGGATCAGTGGCATCGCATCAAGGATGGTACATGCGGGTTTTGTCCCATTCGACTTTTAATTTGTTTCTTTCCACATTTTCACATTACTACGTTACGTGATGTGGTTACAATCACTGCATAAATTTCGAAATCTCCCTATATATCTCTAGTGTTAAAATACGATGATACGAATTACCGGGTTTTTTTTTGACATATGATGACGTTTGCTACAAATACAAAACGACTGGCCATTATGCTAACGAATGTCCTAATGTTACTTCATCAAATCAGGACCCTAATCCCACAGTAAGCATTGAAGAGACCCCTAGAAAATGACAGATTGACGATGACGTCAGTTCACCTCTAGATCTCTCTGGTGATACTTCCAATAAAGTAAATAATACTTTAAAAAAGAAAAAAACGAGTGACTCCTGCGACAGTTTAACTCCGACTCTTGATTTGCTTTTACCTGCCCAAGACTTACTGAACAACACTGAGCAGTTTCCACTGAAATTTGATGAAGTGGTCGGGTTCTTGGATAAGGCATCAGGTGTTAATGATATTCTTAGCCTTGTACGTGAATACACAAATGATATTCAAGAAGTTACGAATTTATTGTATGACGTTTACCCGATTGTGAATCAAAAAATTATTAAAAAAACAGATGTCGAAAAATACATAGAAAAATTAAGAAAGCTTATAATCCAGATAACTTTAATTTGTTTGAATTAACTTCAGTCACTAGTGAGCACGGCATGGAGGATGACTTAAGTCATTCCTCCAAGTAAATGTACTGGTTTTCCACTATTGTATAATCTTTTTAATAAAAATGGCGTCTGCTAATGCACACTATTTTACTCATCCTATTATTTACACTAACCTTACGTCATTACTTGCGAAATATCATGCCCCCTAGTCAGTGAACTGAAACAATCATTTGTACTAATTTCAGAAACCTGGTTAACCCCTTTAGTGACTGACCCGCCGATTTCCTTAGATGGTTATGCAGTTTTTAGAAAAGATCGTCACAACAACAAAGGTGGAGGTGTTTGTGTTTACATCTCTGATCACATTTGCGCGAACTTTGCAGTTATTCCCATTACAGCCGACACGGGTAACATTGACTTCATATTTCTGAAGATAACAAATACGAGGTTGACGTTTCTGTTAGGTCGCATTTACCGGCCACCTACGTCCATAATCGAAGATGACCACTCCCTTTTCCAGTGCATCTCGGAGATGACTGACGTTTATCAATATCTTTTTATTTTTAGTGATTTCAATATGCCTGATATAAAGTGGCCCTTAAACTCATCTCAGTCTTGTGCTCCATCTTCTCAATTATTAGTCGACCTGTTATTGAATAGTCACTTAAGTCAGTTGGTAACGCAACGCACCCGGTACAGGATAAATCAAAACCCTTCGACATTGGACTTAATTATCACTAGTGACGACAACTCTCTGGCCCATTTGGAATACCTTGATCCTGTCGGAAAGTCAGATCACTCCACTCTCAAGGCTAATTTCCAGATTTGCACGCTT